GCAAGATAAAGCACTTTGTTCTTACTGACTGCAGGTCTTCAAGAGGTTTTCATAAAGCACATATCACAAAAGAATTTCTGACTAAATGTGATTTTCATCTCACCTTCCTCAAGTTTCACATTTCACATCTCAACCTCAGACTGCCTAGACAGATCACCTTGTTTCAAATTTCCGACCACAGCTTTGACTACTATCCTTACTTCCACAATTATTCCTTCCCTGTGCTATTTTTCTTTTTGACACGGTACTTAGCATCTACTAATGTAGTATATAATTTATTTATTTTTTTTTACATTTATTGTTTATTGTAAGTTTCCCCTCACAAAATGAAAGTTCCATGAAGGAATATTTGTTGTTTGATTAAAGGATGTATCCCAAGCACACAGAACAAGGCCTGTCTTCCAGGGGCACTTAGTAATATTTGTTGAATAAATTCAAGGGATGCCCTTAGAATTTCGCCACTGGAAGAACTGTGATTCCTCTATTAAATATTAATCAGTACCTGTGGCAAATGATCATGTTTCCTGTAATTGTTTTTAATCAATGTTCTTGTCTGAACCTACCCTTAAAGTAATGAGAAACTGTAGTTCAAAAGAAAACTTGAAATATGTCATTCAGTTTTTAAACCTGGTTTTTTAATTTGTAAAAAAACAAACAAATACCTCAGATAAATAAATATAAATAAAGCGTGTTGGGGAACACTTTCATCTACTAAATGCTGGGGCATTTTGATGCATAATCAGAGGTCCTGAGTTATAGAAGATTATAGCCACGATTGGATCCCAAAGAGAAAACTTTAACAAACTCTAGTTTATTAATGGATAGATGACAATCAAATTGATAGTTACTCAATTCTTAGAATAGGGCTAAATCCATTATGGCACAAATATTAGCATAACAAGATAACTTTGTCTAATAGATAATAAAACAATTACAATAAAAACCAATAATTCTTATTACTTACATGATAAATATTTTCATATTTGCTAGAACTCCCTGCACACTACTATCTGTGCCAGAAGGACCTCCAAAATTAAATACAAAGAAAAGTAGCACAGATAAAGAATGCAGAGAAAATTGCACTGAGCAGTTTTTCACAATGTGTATTTGCAATACAGCTAGTAATATTATTTTCCTAGCATATAAGTGGAAAGCTGAACTTATACAGTAAATCCCCAATTTTAGAAACTGTGTTAAAATATTCAAAAAACACACAGTGGTATGAGCATATATTCTCAAACTGATTTATGTTTCACTCATATATGACTGAGACAGAATACAAGTGATGTCACAATTCGATTTCAAAGGGGTGAATGAAAACCACTAATGGTATTGATGTTAAGAGTGATTACTAATAATTAAATATTGATGTTATATTCAATAACTCAAATAAAATGCTAAAACTAATAAACACTTCTTATTCATGAAATGTAAAACATTCACTAATGAAAAGAACCTTTTCAAAAATGTTAATACTTTTGCCTAAAATAGCAGCTTAGAGAACCTGTGACTGTTCTACATTTAGGCACTAACTGAAAAGAAAACGCACATGTAGTCAATTAGCCACATTTAAAAAGACAAATCTCCTGCAGAACATCACAAGGAAGTTTTAAAAAAAAAGTTATCCATGAAGATGTCAAATTAATAAAAATACCTGAATTTTCTCTGTCAGAATATAAAATCTTCACTGCAGCATTTTGGCTGTTCATTCTCAATTATTTAAACCAAAATGTTACTTGTAGTAGTTCAAACTATAAAATATAGAGAGATAACATATGTGCTATGTTGAAGCATCTATTTATATAGTTGATGTAATCAGAACAATCTTCCCTACCTCTTAATGCAATCTTATAAGCAGCAACTATACTACCGGACTACATCTATTCATCTTCTATCCTGTTTTAATAATACAAGTGACACCTAAGAAATTATTCTTTGATCTTTCAATAAACTAAGCCTGTGCAGACAGAGGAAGGTGAAAGAGGTTAAATTGGCATTGATTATTTAAGACACATTCATCATTTATTTAACAAATCTCCTTCATCACAAGACTATTGTGTTTATATATAGGCCTTTGCTGAGACACTCCAAATTTATTTTTAAATAAGTCTTGCCATGTGCACTACAAATCAGAGCACATTGTACATTAGCATTAGTTTCAGGTCTCCTAATAAACCTGTTACAGGATAAAGTAGTTGATTGTACACACCTTTGAACTAACTTGCTGTAGTGGATTTTTAAAAATTTCTTCTAATAATTTTCATTATATTAATGTCTTGTGGGGGGATTCTTTTTCCTAAGTAAAATGTGTAGCAACAGCTATCTTCCGAAGGAAATAATGTTAATGCATACTCGTATCTCTCAATTCTGACATTCAAATCACTGAAACATGACTTGTTATGATCCATAAATAAAAATTTGTGGCTAATATATGGCAGATTTAGGAAAGAAGAAGGTAGTAGAGAGGTCATCCATAATATGCAAGATTTCTACAAGATTTTTCACTATTTTTTCTGACAAACATTGTAAATTATAAAGAAATTTAATATTCTGTGTGGGTATGTATAATCACATTTGTGAAAAATTAAATGATGTCAAACTATATTCCTGAGAAAATGCAAGCAAAATATGACAAATTAAAAGATAAATGATTCTTATTACATAAAAATGTGAAAAGTGATTTATAAATAGGTACTAAAAAGTATAAAAAATATATCCTAGTCATGGAAAATTACACTACTGTTGAAACTTGTATTCCAAATAGTCACACAATTCATCACTTTTAAATGTTTTATTTATTTCTAATTTATTTAAATATTTTCCTACCCAGATTTTTCCATACAAAATGCTCTGAAGTTCATTCCTACAGTTACCTCTAGTTACTAATATAAAGCTCTATATGCACATAGTTAGTAACAAATTGCTGATTCTGATGATTATATCCTAGAATATATCACTAAGAAATGTGAACATGAATTGTTTAGAAAAGATTGTTATTCTATGTTAACTAGTAAAATAATAACAAACACTTGTACAAGGGGATCCCTTAAGGACCCACTACCAAGAAAATTATTATTCTTTAACATAATTTAATCCAGTAAAATACATTTAGTTCTCGTTGTCAGATATTTTAAAAAGCTATTAACAATGAGTATTTAACAATGAGGATTTAATAATAAGAATTAACTATGTTCATGGCTTTATTTTTAATTTTTATTTACATGGTTAGAGAAATAAATAGCACTAATATAAAAAGTTATATAGAAACAAGAAAACTACGAGGCATAGATGGGCAAACACATAAGAGGCTACTTGTAGCTTCAGCTTACTTAGCCCCACAGGTGCCATTCATTTCTTAGCAACTCTTTCTCATAAGCAGCCCTAACAGTGTGACAGATCTCTTACATTCTGTATTTATATTCAGTCATTTCAACATTTAGAATTCAGCTTCCCAAATATAATTTTCTTATATTAAGTAAAATGGAATATTTGCCCAAATTCAAAAGTGTTTTCCCCGTTTATTACTTTTATATTACTTTTTTTTAGTTTTTTTCTTTTTTCTCAATCCATTTTTTTTGGCTCAATACAGTACTTTTAATAAAGACTAGACTTTTTACCAGTTTCTCCCTTTTTTTTACACAATGTTACTTGTAATAAAAGACTTTTACCACTACCACAAAGCTCATATGGTTATTATTTATGAATACAAACTGGGTTTATATCCTCAAAACTGATATGCGAATAATATGTATTAATATTTTTTAAACAGGAAATAAACTCCTCCAAAAAATTAATATTGAAATATGGTAAACCCTCTTTGAACTTAATAAAAATCATTTCTTTCTTAAAATATGAAATATTAACGTCATTTAAATACATAACACTGGTATTCAATAAGCATTATAGTCACAAAATTTATATTTAAGAAGATTTAGGTGTCAAGAAAACATTAAAATAAATGTAACAAAAATTCAAAATAAAAGCATAGATTTTAATGTTTTTTAAACTAAAAAATACTGCATACAAATATTGAAAAATAATTTGCATTGGAATTCAAAGCTTTGGTTTATTTCCTAAAAGAGACTAATGGGTTTATATTAAATATATTAATATGCCTTGCAAGGAAACACAAAAGTAATATCCATATTTATGTTTAATATGAGGACATGCAAATAAACATACTTTTTTATTACACACATTCATAAAACAATTTAAAATTATCTATTTTATTTATATTTGTCAATAAAATGCTAAAAATTCTATAATAAATGTTTTTAAACAGGAGAGTCCTCACAAATATTACCTACAAGAGAAAGATGATGATTTCTCTATTTTTCATAGCAATGAAGTTTAGTCATAAACTTAGACAAAATGAAAATTTCATAGTAACTTTTAAGGAAAGACAGGTATTTGAATCAGTTATCCAAAATTATCTAGTGTTACTAGAAGCAATCTTGTATTCAAACATGTTTTACAATCTTATTTTGACAGTTCAGTATTTCACGCTAAGAAAAAAAATGCTAACTTTCAATTAAATTACATTCTGCAGCCTGCACTAAAGCCCAAGAGCTAAAATATTATTATAAATTTCTCTGCTAAGTTGTTTCCTCTTATGTGCCAGATTGTAAAAATGATGTGCTTGGCTTTGGTGACTGCAAACTTTATTAAACTGTTAATAAATAAATTAGTACTTTCTTTAAAATAAATTGTTCTAGTATTCTAATATGTATCATCCACATGTCTGCAAATTCACTAATTCAAAAGACTGTATTGAAGATGTTAGTTTAAAAAATAATAAGACATTGATATGCTAGTCAGTGCCTGTAATTATCTTTTTCAGTTCCAGAAGCTATTTGGGGATTATTTAAGAGCAAAAGATGAATGGCACATCACTAAATTCTCCTAAATCAATGCATGGACACAGTAGCAGCAGAGGCAAATAAGCTGTGGAAGACTGAATACCAATAAAGAAGATAAAATGGTTTTATATAGCTACTTACATCATAGCCTAGAACTTCAGTCTGTGTGGATTTATCTACTCTTGAAGCAAACGCCTTCTGTAAATGCTTTACTTTTTCCTGCAAAATGAAAACCAACAAACAAACAAACACATTGTCAGTGAGTCATTACTTCTATACTAATATTCCCTATTTATTAAGATTTGATTAGTGTACCATTCATGACACTCTTGGGTGCATACTTTGCTCTGCCGGTGCTTTGTGTATCAGCTTAAATATTCACAGCTCTAAGTCATAACTATCTCACCTTTGCAATCTTTTCTTTTGATACAAAAACCACTGAATCGGAACCGCAGTTGAATCCTAGAGAGACATGATTTGCTTAAATCCAAGACCAAATGTTTATACTATGCTTCTGACTAGTTGACTTTTTGTAAACGAAGTCCGTAGGATTTTACTGCTCTTGTTTCAGAGCGCTTACATTTAAAACCCAAGACATTTTCAATAAATAATACCACCCAGAGAATTTTATTTAGGATTTCTTTTTTCTTCTTAATTCTCTCCTGGAATCTGCACATTTAGGAATCCCTACTTCAAAGAGTTTGATACTAATCCAATCATTTTACAACTAGGTAAGGGAAATAATGCATGAAGGGAGTTAGAGATTTCATATTTCAAATGCATTACTTCCCCTATCTATTAATAAAATAATATGTATTAAAATTTTTTAAACAGGAAAAACCTCTTCCCAAAACCATTAATATTGAAATACTTATGGTAAATCTTCTTTGAACTTAATAAAAATCATTTCACAGTCCTAAAAGTTTCACTTAAAATAAAAGGGAATATTGAACTTAATTATTATGTAACGTTTCTGCTGTGTGCCTGCCACAGGTAGGAGCGCTGTATTCACGTGATCACATCGCGTCTTTGAATTTTTACTCCATTACCACCCATTTTCAATGAGAGCAATACAGTTCAGAAAATTTAACTTGAGAAAGTTTCCATAAAAGTTCATATGATTCCATTAGACTCTCTTTTTTCTTTAACTTGCTTGAAAGAAGAATATTTTTAGTTTTCTTTTGTATGCTTAATAAAATAGTTGTATAAAATTTTAACGAAAAAAAGTGATTTGATTCATTTTGTCCATCTTTTAATTCACCAAGAATCTTACTATAGGAACTACAATTACACAACACTCATTTTTCCCTTTCCCTCCCTCCTTCCTCTATCTTCCCTTCCCATCCCGCTGCATTTTCCTCAAAGCTGCCAGAGATTTGCATTATACGAGTTGTGTAACAAAGTAACTACATAATTTTGGTAAACATAATTTATTTTGAATTATTGAAATACAGAAAATACTTTATATACCATTAAGGTCTTATACCTACTAACTTCCCTATGAAAAATTTCTAGCGCTGCTATTCAGACAAAAATGAAATGGATATTAGATAATTCAGGAAGATGTAATGAGAGTGAAGTAAGGTGTTAATTATTTGAAAGGATAAGTGAAAACATGGCTGCATTTTCCAAACTAAATTAAAGTGAGACATAAGTTTTCTATTTAGACTGCAGGTGGGGAAAGAAGACAGAAAAGTATTCACAGTAATAGGTAAGGAAGCAATAACATTTGATATCATTCGGGTTGTTTAGAAAAGTTTATTTACTTTTGAAGTGAGTTGGAGTCATAAGTGTCAGAAAAGTAAGTTTTGTTATAAATTTGTAGGTATATATGCGTAAATGTCTGCGTATGAATTAGGGATCATGACCTAATGAGAGTGGGGAAGAATGGAGAGCAAATGTTTCCATTATGCTTCAGCTCACATTTCTATTTTCAAGGGCTTCCACTGTGAGTAGAGGAGTTGGAGAGGACTGATAAATTCCCTCTCATGGGCCTAAGACTCAGGAAATTCAAATAAATTAAATGAAATATTCAAACAGCTTCATTAACCAATAGTCTAATCAAAGTAAAAAAAAAAAACCCTAAGTCAAGGATCATTATCTTCAAAAATTAAAAAATATATATATAAATATTTCTAACAAAATTTATTACCAATCCCTTTTACATGCATTTCCACAACAGCAACATGTCATATTTAATTACTTGATACATATGCACTTATATGCCAATTTAAAATGTGGAGAGTAAATTGTGGTTCCAATAAACTTATGTATACATAAATAAGAATTAAATATTTTATTTAGTGTAACAGTTGGAAGAAAATATATAATAAATTTCTTAATAGTTCAAAATAAGTTTAACAGTTCATAATAAACTTCCACAACCTACAATTAGAAGATTAAATAAAAACTATAGCTGTTGGGAGATAATTATCTATGGAGCTCTTGCCTTTCTGTTAAATGTATACCTATGGACTGGTAAATTTAACATATAATAGAGTGTTATAGATAATCAAATGGAAAATATATCATGAAAAATAGTCATTACTGGATGGTAGGACTGCAATTTTCATTTCTTATGTAAGAAATGAATGTGTTTTTAAATGTTACTTTACAAATAAGGCTATAAAATATTTTAACACATTATAACAGAACTTATTTAAATACCCCATTTCACCTATATGTAAGAATGACAAAGGAAGCAACATGGAGAACAGAAACAATTGAAGTAGATAGATCTTTATTTTTCTGGACTGCTAATTAATTTATAAAGTGACTTAATGTGGCTGTCTGCCAGTGTTTTATGAAAGAAAATGTTGTAACTCCTTCTAACCTCGCCTAGAGGGTCAAGGTAGAACTAAAACAACTCAACTTCTGGTAAATACATTTTATAAGTAAATTTATAGCCTGTATAAAATATCTCATTATCTTTAAGTTTTCCTTTCCACACAGTGAGAATATCAATACTTAACAAAGTACTCCTTTTTTAGTCTCATTGAACATTAATAAAATATATGTATGCTTAGAGTAGTTGTGAAATCATTTTCATTGCAATGATATGATTAATTAAGCAGAGAAATATAAAAATATATTCTGCTTAAACTGTTAGATTCATTTATTTTTATTTTAGAGTATATTTGTATTTATTTACATTATTAGATAAGCTCTTCAGTAACAAAAACAATTCTAGACAATATTTAAAATTCTAGCAGTGTATTAAACAACATGATTTATTTTTACTTTAGATATCAACATCTATTATCGTCTACTAGAGCTGTTTAAAAATTAATGCATGTTTATCTAAGTGCAGAAAACCAAGCTAAAAGGAAAATAATCAGTAATCCCAAGATATAACTGCAGTTTATTTTAAATTACTATTTTAATTGCCTACCCTGAAGTTGGTGAAATTCACCTACAAGATGAAAAGGAGATGAACTTTAAAAATTAGAACTTAAGGACTAACTTGTAATAGATAGCTACAGAAGCTATAATAAAAGAAAATGTACTCTTATGAATTAAATTAACAGGAAGCTGATAAAGGGAACATAAGTAATACTGATTACAATGCTACAATATGAGTATGTACAAGTATGTTGAGGCTGAAAGGAAAAAAACAAAAGCATCTGCATTGTTATCCAAAATATGCAAAAGACGATTGCACAAAACGTAGGTTTAAATTAGAAAAAAAGACTATCTTAAAAATATAAAAAGAACACAAAGATGAGTTAAAACAGTATAATTGTAAATTCAGATCCTAAGTCATGAATCTCATGGTTAAGTTTATGGAAAGAAAGATAGTATTGAAAGACTAACACTGTGAAAGAGGAGGAAAGTTAACTTTTAAAATTAAAAAGTAATATAATTCAACCCAAGAAAATTCACAAAGTGTTCTGAGTCCAATTTAAATGAAAAAATTTGGTGGCTCAGAAAGAATTTGAACACATAAGGGACCTCAATGTCAATCGTAAACTTAAAAACAAAAGAAAAAACTAAAGGGGAAATAACTGGGATTGCTTGATGACATCGAATCAAGGGTGCGCCCAGGAGCGAAAAGACAACGGCACAGGGCTCACAGCACTTGCACCCGCCTAACTGAGGGCAGAGCCCTGCAGAAGCCAGTGGAGTTATAAACAAGTGCAACAGCAACCAAGCCAATCCAAACTCCTCACATACGCTCTAAAGTTTCTGGGATATTAAAATGTATTAATGTTATTTTCTTATTTTTTGTTATGGAAAATTGTTAACATAAAACCAAAAAAAAAAAATAGGGAGAAAAATATAAAGAATCCCTATGCATTATTCACTCAATTTCAACAATTTTATTGGGGTTTAAATAAGAGGTGTTAGTATTAGCTACATGCTTAAATAGCTCCACTGGTCAGTACTGCGCTTCATTTTAGATAGCACATGTTTGTAGTAGAGGACCTGGCTCTGGAGAATATGTCAGTAAATCAATAAAACAAGCATCTGGACAACTTATCTTCATCTAAAGTTATGATATCTGAATTAGGAAAGTGCCTGATATCCTCTACAACCCACTGGAGATGATATTTTTCAAGAAAAAAAAAGAGGCCATATAATTATACACTACAGGTTAAATTTATTGCACTCATTATTCATAAGATTATATAAACTGAAAATATACCTATTTTTAAGAAGAGCTTTTGTCACTTCATTTAAGAAAGAAATAAATTAAAATGTAAATTAGGAATTTTTATATGTTTTCAAATTGAAGTCATTGTAGATAATTGTACCTAGATAACTGAATGCAATATTGTAGCTGTAAAACATGTGCTTTTTTTCTCCAACAATAATTGAATGATGCTTTCCATTTTAATTCTAACATTACTGTTCTGGATCTTGAATATTTTTTCCAAAGAGCACTTTGTACTATGTATAAATACCACTAATCATACATATTTGATTTCTTTAGTGGTTATGACAGACTAATTCATTTCCTCTAATTTAATTCTCTTTTCAGTAAGGTGAAGCTAATTAAGAAAGTCCCCATAAAGAGGGACATGAAGATATTCCTGAGATAGGTCCTTTAGAAGCCAGGGATATGAATTTCCTGAGTTAAGAAGAGTCAGCATTTAGTGACTGATCACAAAAAGCATGAGAGAAGTTGTGACTGAGAAATATCACCCATTACTTCATAAGTTAGATAATGTCTAATCACTATGTTGTACACCTGAAACTAATAGAATATTATAGGTCAA